GTGTGTGTGTGTGTGTTAAAGGAGCTATTCCATCAACTGGGCACCACTTACACCACTCCTACAGTAATACAGCAATATTTAGCCATTGTACATGAAGCAGCGTGCAAGGATCTGATATCAAGCTTAATTTCATTTGTTTCAGTTGTAATAAATATCTTTAGAGAAATATGATGAGGGGGAACTGTTACTGTCCTTTCTGTCATTGTTTCCACTGCTTTTGATGTCCTTTAGTGTGTACAAGTCTGCTGCAAGCTAGCTGTGTTTATCAGTGTTTGATTCAATACATATCTCAATATAGAACCAACTATGGCCCAAAGTTGCCAATGTATTGATATTTAATACACTATAATCTAATATAAATTCTTATATTCTTATATTATCATGTGAACTTTTTATTGAAGTTTCCTCTCATTGTAAAACCTAAAGCTTGCTGATGTTTTTGTAGAAACAATAGACACAGAGCAAAATTAGCTTTTTTAGAGGCAGGTACTCAGCATCTCTCAGTATAATGAATGAAAAAAGTAGAAATCCTCTGCAGGTGCTGCCAACAAACACAATGTCCTTGTAGATTTCTAAGTTCACTTCTCAGATCCACACTAATGTAATAATCCATATTGTATAGGCTGGAAAGCAAGGTGTGTGATCTATGGTATCATGTCACCTGATTGAACTGAACCTCCCATTTCTGGCAGCGGAGCGGGTTTTAAAGTTTTTACCTGGAAGGACTTACTTCAAAGCAGTAAGACAAGTCTTACTACAAAAAGGAAGCATTTTAATCTGTGACTCATTGCACTCCCGGTCGCTGCTGTTCTTGATTCTTCTGACAGAAAAAAACAACCGAAAAAAAAAAAAGTCAACCTACCTGAGATTTATGATATTTAAAGTGGTTGTTTGTGATTTCTGAGACAAATTGATGACTGGTTCCTTTGGTATGCTTTTGCACTGAAGCTGTGGCTCTGTGTTTTTATGATGGCTATCTACACTCGCTGTCTTGGAGCCAGTGTAGTTGTCCTGAAGCCACACAGAGCCAGATGGTTAATGGATAAGATCTGCTGTGGTTTGATGCCAGGTGTGCTGACCTCCCCCTCACCCTGTTGGCACAACAGGCAGTTTTCATTTGTGTGTTTCTGTGTGTTTGTGCACATACATGTGGGTTATTGCTTGTCGGCCTGTGTGTGGGTGTGTGTACACGAAGATGCACTAAAGGGTTCAAAAGAGTTTATTAATAAATTAAATCATTAAATTGACTCACAAAGACGAACTCTGACACAGTTAAATGAGTGCGTGCACACACACACAC